AGGCTGGTGGGCGCCAAGTCACCCTCCGGCGGGTGCTGTATCGGAAATTAGTGCTCGCAAGAAATAAACCAGCATCTTCACACAAATGAAGTAACCGCTCACCGTTATCATTACGGGAGCCTACACCGTGCTGACCGCCCAGATGCATTTCATCAGTGGACAACTTTCCAACTTGTGCGTTCATATCCCCGCCAGCACAACAGTGTCCGTGCTTCTTCTGTGGCGAAGGAGCTGAGTCAGTTGGAGGTGGAAGTCGTTCTTTACCGAATCATCGCTACCGTTTGTGGGCGCGTAGGCAGCGATGATGAATAGACACCTATTAGTCCCGCGCGACTTCGAAGCTTTAAGCAAGCCAGCCAATCGGACCGCACACATCCGGCTACTGATTGGAATCCAATCAACCAGAGCAGCTTCAGCCCGGGGACTCAGGGCAATGCCAACATCAGCTTAGCCGGTGCTCGAAGCTGCATTGTCACCGGATAGGCGCACTGAGAAAATCCTGTTTGCGTCACCTGAAGGGGATCGCAGAATGAGCACAGAGCTCGAGTCTTGCAGGCGGGTCTCTGATAAGCAGCAGATATCGATCGAGAGGGGCTCCAATGTTCGGGCAAGTGCTGCCTGTTGACCGATTTGTAGCAGTGTGGGTACATGGAGGCATGTCAATATGAAGGAGGATCGAGGGCTCCAAATGGAAGCCGATGAACTGGAATGGACCGCTTGGTTGGACATGGGCTTGTCGACAGGAAAGGAGCGACGCTCAGCGTTCACATGTGAGTTGAAATTAGAAGATACATGCCTAGCAAAGCATGTTTGGGGGAGGGCCAAGAATCGGGGGGTTGAAAACTGGGGGGATATAAGTGAAGTTGGAAGGGGACGGAAAGAGTGAAAAAGCGTAAGATGGGGAATAAGAAGACGGGAAGGCTTGAGCAGTAGTATCCAAACCCCCATCCGCCCTGCTCGATGCAGCAGATAGAGCACCGTTGATTATCCTCTGCGGTGGCCAGAGCATCGGCAATTTGTTAGAGATAAGATTCATGGTATTGCGTGGGCAGGATACTGTCAGGTTGCCCAGGCCTAGACAGGAGAAAGATTAGTATGCTCAACCAAAGCCTTTGGTTCAAAAACCTGACCGCAAGGCAGCGGGTTTGGCGGTGGGCTACAAGGAGTCCGTTTTAAGGAATAAGGTGCCACCCTCATTCCAACCCCCAATCTGGAGGACCAGGAGGCTGAGTTTGTCTTGCCTCTAACTATTGACCAATCTGGTATGAGTGACTCTGAAGGTGCAAAAGCACCACCCAGCATAGCGCAATGGATCGCTGAGGCACACAAACCATCGCACCAGCCTCATTGCGATGGATTGGAGAAACTCGCTAAGCATGGAAAGGTTATCAGCTGGGTACCGAGCGCTTAGTGCCCAAAACGAGTGACAATCTTTTGCTAGACTTATGAAACTTGGGAGTACCCGCACTGTTATACCCAGTACCTCTCTTATACGTGATGTTCGTGCGCCATATATCCGGTACGCGACTGGGCGGCCAGCAAAGGACAATGTTTAGAACACACAAAAGTTAGGCTAGGGGAAAAGTTTACTGAACGGGATAACAGCAGGGTAATGCTAAAAACAGAGCACCAGCAGCGAGCTAGCTAGGGAGGATGTAGTTGCGCGTCCAGCGCGTGGACGGACCGTCGTTCGCATTCGAGCCGCGCGCGCCGAAAAGGCGGAATGTATCGCAGGCTCCATGGAGGATCAAACCGATCCTCCGTCAACTGACGGCACACTACCTATGGAGCGGGGCGGGAAGAGACGCCTGTAAAACTTCTGCAATACCATTTTCAGGTTCCCTGTTCTACGACCGGACTTTGAAACGCGAACGAAGGTCCACCATTTTGCACCACATCCAGGGGCTAGGGCCATCCAGTATACACCGCCGCCTCCGATGTTGGATTTGGAGGATGACGTCCCTCAGCGGACCCCTCTGGTTGCCTTGGAATACGTTCCCCCAATTAAAATTAGGTACTTGCTTAACGATTCAGCTCCCAAATTGATCTATCGCAGCAGGATCATGCTGTAACAACGGAACTGTGTTTGTTGCACCAAGCAACGCTGGAAATTAAGCAATATATACGAGAGCGTTGTGCGAAACATGCCGAGGGCAACACTAGAATTCGGGAGGAACTTCACATCTAGAAGTTAGAGATGGCCCCCATTCGCTCTTAGTTGTCAGCGGAGGCCAAGATCAGTGCATGCCCTGTACCGTTTCCGTTGAAGGAGCTGCAACCACTAGATCGACGGCTAGAGAGCCACACTGCCATGCCCAGTTGGTATGATGCCGCTTATGTATGCTTTTACTTTAGATTAACTATTTCACCATGAGCAGCGGAAATACCGTTTGGACAGCAGAACGCAACATCATGCAGGCGGTCTGCACGGACGAGCTGACTAACTAATTGAATTGGCGCGGCGTTCGCACAAAGCATCGCTTCGGCGAGACTAGATTGACTCGGACAGTCATCGGTTAGTTCTCAATATAACACCTGATATCTATGTTCTAGATGCAGTAGTACGGATGGGGATACATGGCTGCACAGAAGAGGTGAAAGGTCGGTGGCTTCAGAGGGCTCACGAACGTATCCAACGTGCCTCGACTCCCACGGAGCAGAACCATTTTTCATCGTAACACCGAGGCTACAGTAAATAGGCAACGATGAATATACACTGCGTCATATAATGCGCCTGAGCATGGCTATTCGCGATAGTGAATAACCGTACTCCATGCTATCGCGTCAAGCCTTTTGAAAAAGGCTTATTTTCATGTCCTTTACGTGTGGAATGAGATTCCGTGGGGTAAGTGACAGCTGTTCTGTACAGGCAAACTGGTTCCATTCAGTTTCAAACTACGGGGTCTAATTATGTCAGGGTTCCACTACGGCTATTCGCGTTCATCCTTTTGTACCTAGACACTGCACAGGCGGACCATCCAAATAAGCATGCCATTATGTTCGCATGTAATAAAAGTGATGTGTACACCACTGTGTGCAGATGCTCACCGTTTTCGTTTAGCTTATTTGCATTCGCAGAAGCAGCATACACTTTTTGTGGACACAGTTCACGTTGTCGAGAATAAAATATTTATTTAGATATCACAATAGTTTCTTTTTATTAGTACACTTTGGTTTTCACAAGTTGCTTAATGACCTGCTAAATGTTGACTTTCAGGCCCAGTGCTCTAGAACTGAAAGCCAAAACTTCTGAAGCTACGCCAGGCATGAATTTTGCTTCACCCGACGCATCGGGATTTCATTGTCCTTTTATTCACGTTACAATGCGCCTTGTTCATATAACGGTGTAAGTACGTTTTAAAATGGCTTTGCGCGAAACTCAGAATAGACACAAATACCGGGAATTTCGTGCTGGGAGTAGTCGCAACTAGTGGAAAATATTGCCGGGCTTCACAAAAGTTACACACGAATTATGCTTTTGAGTGACCAAAAATCGTCCGAAAAGTGTCCAGTTGAGACGGCCGGGGGCACAAGAATTGGTCACGCAGGGACGTCCAAAGGTCACTCCAGCGGACAATTTTTGGTCACTCGTGCGGACAGGGTGGTCGCGGCCGTGGACTTCGAGTGTGGTGGGAAGGAGTGACACCACTTAAGCACACCATCGAAAGGAAATGTCCTGTCGGCCTTTTTTTCTGGACTAATCAGTCTTTTTGCAGTCCGACCAGCCCGCCCCGATGATGCACCTTCTCGGATAGACACCTAGTCGTACGACTAACATATCCTATTTCACGGCAACAGGTAAATGAATAGATGCACATGGAGTTGTCGTGGACAAGACCTACCATTCTTGAGACTGAGAATCACGCTTGGTGTTCTGGTAAAGCAGGTCTGCAGTTTTGCCGCTGAGAAAATCTGTCTGAGCTCCTGTGATAGACAGCTATTAAGAATTTCGGCGGCGACTTCCCCTTTTTAAGGAATTCGCAAGAAAATTGGTTTTTGTTGGCCGTTAAAACTACTGGTGTATACATCCTCTACTCCGTGTGGACTTTCATGAGGTGGTTTTGACGGCCATTTTCCAGCAGCAACGAGCATATACACTGTAGTTCCCCAGAAAGTGTATTATGCGAGCAGATGCGTTCTGCTCTACTGATTAGATTATGAAATGAATTCCTTTACAGCCTCATTGGCCCGAAGTTGTGGAAATTGGTGTACTGGTCGTTCCAGGAGCCTTTTCTACACACGTGGCGCCATAATATCTCGCCATTGAGTTTCTCTAGACCCAAGTCAAGAAAGTAAAAACAGCCATTTTCCTCCACCTCTGCGGTAAAATACATCGTTTTATGGGCTCGGTTAAAAGTATTGATAATATATTCAATATTCATAATCATAACGGCGGTAGTGGTTAAGACATGCGATGGTTGATTTTAGGCTCCACTGCTCAAGCATGCCCATTTGACTGTTATCAGGTTGTGGTGAAAAGCACTGGTCTACAGGTGACGGACGTGAATAGATTGCCAGATAAGATATAAAGCCATCTCAGTATCCATTGACTTTCATGCTACTGCTGTACAGAGTAGCCTACACAACAAGCGATAAACATACTAAGTCACCAATTAACTTATAGCAACATGAGCTACTTGGCCTGCATACTAAGTATAAAGGAGTGAGCGGTGTGATACTACACCTAGTAGCTCAGTCACGTAGGTTGTAACCGACGTCCGTAGCCCGGTGTTATTCACCATGAACTGGTATCAGGCGGGTTGCGGGTCATAGCTTCTTAGAGACCAGATGGAACGCGCATTGCTGACGACTCCCAAAAAGATGAGACGGCTGTACAGAGACTTTCTGATAGCTTTCTGATTAAGTCTAGGTTTCATGGGAGTCTACTTAAGCCCCTATGAAAGTACTTTACAGATTTGGGATTTAGAGATCGGTTCGCAGCTGAGAACATTCCATATTGCAATATTTTGAAAATGTGCGAAAAGCAGCAACGTTATCCTGCGTAGTACTCGATCAAATTTCGTGGGGGTTACACAGATTTATACAACATCGCTGCATATCTACAGTATAGAATATACAGTAATCACGGTGAACTGACGTAACCGGACCACAGCGACCTCACTTTAACAGAATCTATTCATGATGACAGAAGCGGTAAAACCACAATTGCGAAAACCAGCCAGTACACACGGAACAAGATGTCATTTGGAGTCAGCAAGATTACACAAAGCAGCGTAAATTGCACCGGTGAAATAAAAGTTGGATGTTCAATGGACGGCATCACAGATAATTAAGGTGGAAGATAAGGAGCTGAAATCCACAGGCGATGGTGAAATGACACCGCGTGGGGAGAATCGGAAGTGTGACGGTGCCAAGAAAGACAAATTAACGGCGATCGTCATCGATAGGTAGGTGGGAGGGAGTGGGAAATTCACCATGAAGGTGGAATGCGCATCTTAACTCTTGATCTGAAAGGAAGTAAAAATAAGGTAAACTGGTGCTACATGTTATTCCAATAGTTCAATAGTAGTCAGTATTGGTAATTAGTAGTTAGAGCGTGGTGTGGATGATCAAGTCGCTATGGCTAAGGTTGCTAAAATAACATTGATAAACGGACGTCGAACACAAATGGAATACAAATAAATGGAAAAAAGAAAGAGCGTAAAACCAATCAGAGTGGAATTAAAATCAACACATCAAGAAAGAAACCGAGTGAAAGAACGACACTGACTGTGTGATGTCTGGTACAGTCTCCGGACACTGATGTGGACCGTCTCGGAGCCACCATCTACGAAGACGATACGCATCAGTACTAACAAGTCCCTCAATTAGTTCCTTCACGTATTTGTCATGTCATCGACTGGCCACCTCGCGATTTCACCCAACTTGGTATAGCGATGGCGTATAATGCACGGACAAAGAAGCTGGTCAACGAGCCTACCAGGATACAAAACCAAGCCAACATAAGCGGTTTAAGTATAGCAAACACTGGTAAATTACTAAAGGGTTTACTGCTAAAACCTCACCTAGTGTTCGCACAAGAGGTAAGCAATAGCCCGCAAGCACCCCGACCAAATACGGCCAAGCATAAAATATCTTCACTGCGAACTGGACAGGTCTCTGATCGACACAATAACACCGGCTATGTCGCAGCATTATACAACCTACTTTACACTGTCAGCCTAGTGCCAAACCGTTTCCATTGATGGTTGAACCCCTGATAAGCGAAGCAACTTCCCCGTGATATGACTACCAGAGGTGATACAGCTACACATATATCTATGTGTCAGAATGAATCTTTCGAGTGAATAAAAGTGAAGGAGGAGCCCGAAACGGTGAGAAGTCATTGGCGCACATCCAGCTCAGAAAGTGTTTCTCAAGTCCATTTCCTAAAGCGGTATCAAGTAAAAAGTTGTTCATGAAAAAAGTATGGAGCTTGCCAGGTGTAGTGAAATAATCCAATGCCCCGAATGCCTAAGATGAAAATCATGATGTAATATAGAACCAGCCACGAAAGTCGGTCATCCATTTATAGCATACTTTGGAAGTGAATGGGGAATTCTAACTCAACATCCGCTGTTTCATCCTAAACCGCTCAGGGCTCTTGCACGGAAATCCAATAGTCAGCTGGGCTGTCGAAAGAGGCAAAAAGATCGTCGTACGTGGCGCCGGCCCATGTGATAATAACGAAAGTCCATTGCTCAAAATCTTCAAAAGTCCTTGATAAGAATCCGCAGCACCACCAATTTTACCTAGATTTGTGACGGCTCCAATCAGGTTGAGTTTTCAAAAAACTACAACCCACTATTGTCTTATGATGTTTGTGGTGGGGGAGTATGTATCATAGATGGGGGTTGGTGACAACGAAAATCTGAGGAAATCCGCAAATAACAATCAGTAGGAAGTAATAGTTATCATCATAACGATAGTAATAATAGCAATCATAATGGGACATCAAAAGGGGTTGAGGAGATTTAAAGCAGTCAGATGGAATAGTTAGACGTTAGAAATAACCAGATCTGACAGAGTATGCACATGCCGATGTGACAGTGCGATGACGAACTGTGACAAGCGTTTCGGTAGTGAGAATTCTCACGTCATCATTTCCGAACAATGTCGATATTTCATCAAACCAGATGGAGTGAGGAGAAACAATGGATGTAGTGGCAGTAAGCCGAAAAAAGTACCAGACAAACACATGAAGTTTACTTCAACAAACACTCCAATGAAGTATCAGAAAGGCTGCTACCGAATACTAGATAACGAAATTAAGCAAAACTCATTATGTGCTTGCGGTTAATTGATGTATACAGTTTCCAAAAGTTGATGATCGAACACGGTCGGCCATACACGAAAAAGCTTTAAATATGATGAATAAACAGGATCAGCGCTGTAAAGCCTTCACGTAAATATTAAGCTAATATTCCGAAGTCCAGTTAAGACATTAAGGCTATGGGAATCCACAAGGCGCGTACCTATGTAATATCCTCATCAGAGATGGCAGTTATTTAGCCAAATAGCCTGGTAAACCACTTTCAGCGGCCATTCAATAACCGAGAGAACTAGTGACGTGCCCACCCGGTCGCACAACGTTGCTTTACAATTAAAAGACAAAATCACATTCAAAAGTGTGCAGTGCTAGGTATAAGTCGATTCAGTTTTCTTTGCATGGTAACTGCAGGATCACAAGTCTGCCACGTAATCTGACGGCGCGGGTTCGAGCTTATGAAGGGCATCGGGCGACTCTCCCAGTATCCCTGGCTCATGTGCAAATGATGGTAGTTGCGTGGCCGTGGAGCGTCGGTACCGGCATACTGCTCATACCCCCATGGCAAAAGAGTCCTTTCAGAAAACATAATGCTGTCCGTGTAGTCTACAGTTGAAATTAGGCTACCCCAGAAGAAAAGAAGTAAGGAGAGAGCGAATTTGCTGGGTAATCGAGAGACACTGTAAGCTAGATGAACTTCATTTATCTTTGAGAGCACTGAGGTACCTTCCTTATCTCAAAATTGGTGGATCGGAGGTAGCAGAACAAACAAAAGTGTTCAAAACGCCACGAACAGGCTATATTAATAGAGTCCGAGGGAAACTTACAAAACAAGATGGCCAATCAACGGTCACACTGAGTGAAATCGTACATCGCAAACATTTGGAAGGGTTAATTAGCACAAACACTGTGTAATGCATTTAGACTACCGGTGAACAGAATTTGCACTATGACCGCTGGGAATGTGTTGGGATGTTTGTGCGAAAAGCAAACTGTAATAACTTCAAGCACATTAAAGCAGCTATAGAAAGGTTGTTAATATTTCAGGGAGATAGCCTGCATGATCTTTCATTAGGTGTTCGTGTCAACCTTGGTGAAACTATGTGGAAAACTATAAACTGTCAGAGCTATGGGCCATATGCCGCACTCGAGCGGGAAGATGGTTATTGGAGTTCACTATTACAATCCCGATGGTTTGCACAAAGACCAGTTCGCAATCAGCAAGAGAAAATACGGAACTGTGACAAGTCGTATAACTGATATCACATAAAAATCCATACAAAATGAAGAGCGGCAAGCAAGAGTGGATGGAAGAGATCATGTTAAGATGATGAAGGAAGAATCGCACAGAATCATAAACTAATCGTTCAGGTGTAAGGATTCAATTTTTCGAAAAAAATATCCCTTCGATGGGTCTCATCAAGCAAATACAAAGTAAAAGCTAAGGATGATTCACTCCAGAGAAGCTAATTTCGAAGGGCATCAGCAGTAAGCTGATATGCATTACCAAGGCTTCGCTGACGTGCAACCATCACCAGCCGCACGTGGGCTAAGGATATTACGACGGTCGCCCGGACCCTATGTAAGCTCGAACCCACGCCATCGGATCACAAGGCTGGCTTGTGATCAATAAGATTACGGGCCTGTTACGCCTTTCGAAGAGCTGTTTGGATAGAAGGATACAGGAACTTACATAGCTTTGCACCTTTGCACAAAGAAAACTTAGTCTGTTATATGGACTATCATGCTAAGGAAATATGTAGTCAAAAAACGTTGGAAATCGAAAAAGAATGCATTCTCAAGACATTACAAGAAAAATGCTACCACGCTCCTTACTTTCGGATACATTCTGTGATCCGTCGTGCCGATAAAAGATGATGATCACTATGTTCCTTCAAAAGTAGATATTTTCTTTGATCTACTGAACAGGAGGCTCTAAAACGTAGTAACCAAGAGATTCCCAGTTGCCCGCCATGTTGCTGCCGAAAATGCTCCTTTTATTAACCAGCTTTTCAAGGACAAACACATGGTGTATTCAGAATCCTTTGTCTTGCATCAAATTATTTACAAATGGTCAGAAATAACGTACAGTGGGAAGCCATACATGATTCAAAGCATCAATAGCCCTACTCTGAAACGCTTAGCTTAAAGCAGGCATCCAGTTTTATACGTGTCAAAACGATACCCAAATGGAGATAGAAAGCCCCTACAAATGAAAGCCAAAGCTAGTGCGATCCGGCAAACGCAATCTGAACTGTGCATGTAGAGGACGCTGGTGCGTGTGTTCCTCCTTCCATGACCGTAATCAGATCATGAGCGTTGTTCACATGGATCAGAGGCCACTAAACTACGAGCTGAGGGCCGATTGCAGCCGAATGCGCTTGATAAACACCAGAAGTCGTGATACAATTTACATGCGACATTGCATGTCTTAACGTTGGTGACTTGAAACTCGCCTGAGTCAGCTCATAGTGGTTACATGTGACAACGTAATATTGTTCTCTCAGTGACCTCACACAGTTGAAACATTGTTTGAACAAGCATAAGACCCATTCATCCGTGCACCACACTGTGTTTTCGTTTAGCTCACATCTGTGTGCCGCATATTTCAGTTGGTCAGCTCCGTTGATGCATGTGTCATAAAAAATGCCCAGGATAAAGGCGCCGTTTGCTTGCTCAAATGTTATTTTCAAGACATATTCGGCACCTGGTTGGAATGAGTTGCAAGCTGTGCATACAAACTTGGACTTAAAACGCTAATTCCTGAGGTTCGTACATGCTGCCATTGTTAATTACTGGATGGCAGCAACGGTATCCAGTTCCACTCCTGTGTGTTGATTTCACCTCGATGGAAATACTTGTATCAAGCCTTCCAAGTGCCTTGTCGTAAATATACATATGGTTGGCGGCACCCGGTTTCGGATTCGCCTGTCACTGTGGCCAGCCACAGGACGCCTGCGCCTACAGAGGGACCATGGTTGGCTTGCGCTACACCACTCACAGCTACATCCACACATCCCATATTCAGCGTAAACCCGAAGGGATAAGACCGGGAGGGATGTGGATGGGAACCACGTTTCATCAACGTAGCCGGCACACAACCCTTCACAGGCAAACACAAGCACGCTGTATTTGGGAATCAATCGCACACAAGGCGGTGGCCGGACCGTGGTCCGCTTCATGCTGAGTGCATGGAACCACTCTTTGAGCTTAGCAACGCCACAAGAACCGTGCAGCCGTACTCTCCAGCAACGACCAACTGTCTTCTGCAGCCAGTATGGACGACGTAGTGGGTAATAGCCAGGTCGGCACCTTGTCAACATGCACATCAAGCGCAACCACCCCCGGAATACCAAGCAACAGCCAATCACTTGAAATAACACTACGAAATAAAGTATCTCCGTTAAAGCATCCGGTTATGCAGACAAAACGCTTCGCGAAATTAGCATATGAAGTAAGTTGGTTAGCAATGAATCCGTGATAAGTGCAAAGCGTCCAGAAGTTACTTAAAAAGGCTACAAACGTTGTTGGTTGTTCCACACTCGGTACTCTAGCTTCCCGAATGCCTCCGCTGTCTCCGAGACGCGGATACGAAGCTCATTGTGTAGCTGCTAGTCAGTCGACACCAAACTCCCAAATTAGAAGAAGCGAGAGGTGGTTTCTAATACTTCAGCACTAATGTTGATTTGCGGCAATATTGAAGATTGCGCCTCCGGTGAAGACTGAAAGAGACAGACAGATTTGATTGTGTTGATGGTGAGCCCGAATTTGGCCGCTGTCGAAACCAGAGAACTAGCCGTGGGCTGCAAATGATCCGCGATGTGTGCACACAACGCACATTCGTCAGCAAACAGTAACATACGGATAGTTGTCTCACAGACTAGAGTTCTCGCACCGAAACGACGGATGTTCAGCAACCCACAATCAATACGGTGCCCCACACGAACACCGTAAGCACAAGCCGCATCAAAAGCACAAGACATCATGGCATGAAGATAAATATTAAACATGGCAAAAGCTAAGACACAGCCTTGCTTCACACCAGTGACAAATACAAAGTCATCCGAGATCTCTCCACTCAGCTGCACCCTCGCCCGCCTACCACTATGCAGACATCCAATTAAACTTATGAACGTACGCAAACAACCAAAATTACCCAACACCAGCCACAATGCCTCGCGGTTCACCGTATCAAATGCCTTGGTGAAATCAACAAAAAGCGAGTACAACAGCTGGTGTCGTTCGCTGCACTTCCATAGTGAAACGACCCGAACGGAATCCAGACTGCTCTTCCGCCACGTTAGGTTCCACAACCTGACTGACGAGGCTGTTGAGCAGGATTCGGGCAATCACCTTCCCCACACAACTCAGCAAGTTGATGCCACGATAATTCGCGCAACATTGCTTGCTCCCTTTGCCCTTGTACAGTGGTAGCACAAGGGAAGTACTCAGCTCAGGAGGAACCTCCTCCTCAATCCACACGCGTTGCACCAAGTGGTGCAGCTCCGTCATCAACGCGGGTCCGCCGTGTTTCAATACTTCAGGCGGGATCCCGTCGGCCCTGCACACTCGCAGCTGAGCAAGTGCTCTCTGCGTCTCATCTAGTGTCGGCGTGTCCGCCAGACTCGCCTTCACATCGTGGTGCTTCAGGCCCTTCAAAGTAGGCCAGTCGATCGCTGAACGGTTGTTCAAAAGACAGTCAAAGTGCGTTCGCCAGATCTGCATTATGTCTGCAGTTTGTGTGGAGGTAGCGCCAGAACTACCATCGATCAGCGTCCTCAGCGGCTCCAATCTCGATCTATCCACCGCCTACAAGGAGTCAAAGAATTTCTTGTGTTGGCGACGTTCGGCGTAGCATTGAAACTGCTACGCCTTCTTCGTCCAGCATGCATTTTTAATGAGACGGAACTCTAGGGTCAGTCGCCGTCGAAGTTTGCGAAACTCCGTATTCTTCCTCAAGTCACTGGGGTCTACCACATGTGAAGCGAATGTTGCATTCTTCTCCAACACCAATGCGCCAATCGCCACATTGTTCCCATCAAACCAATCAGGCCGCTCACAGTTTGCGCGCCCGATGGTCCCCTCGACAGCAGCTGTCACCTGATCGCGAATGTGGTGCCACAGGTCGCCCACTGTGTCTATGCATTCCACATCACACAGGAGTGCAGTCATCGTCTTCTCCACCTAAATACGTTTCTCCAAAGTACCGAGGGAGAAAATGTTAAATTTACGCCAATTCACGGCAGGAGTGCAATTCATAGATTTACAAAAATACATGTACAGTTTGGTCCGCCACACTTTGTGATCAGTGTCACACTCAGCTACACGCAGTACACGCGTCATGCGCACTTCACGCATATCACGCTGACGTACGATGACACAGTCGAGTAGGTGAGCGTGACCACTCCGTGGGTGCGTCCAAGCTGCTATAGCAAACACACTCAGTGCAAACCGAGTGTTCCTGATCGTCAGGCCGTGAGTGGCACACAGTGTGAGCAGCCTGCCACCGTTCGTATTCGCTGAACCAATGACATGCCGACAAAGGACATCTGCCCACACCGATGCATAACGCTCAACGCGCGCGTTGTAATCACCCAGCAAAAATAATCAGTCGCTCCTCAGCACAGACGGTATCACGGAGGATAGCTGTGTAGAATTGATCACGCGTGTCATCAGGATAACACATGGTCGGACCGTAGGTGCCTATAAAAGTGGCAAATTTACCACTTCCAAGTCGCAGGCGAACAGCTAACAGTCGCGCGCTGATGGCTGTTCGTTCACCCACCTGGTCATTTAGGCGATGGGATATTGCAAATCCGACCCCATGTGCACGTGGTGCTGAGGCGGCGTTGTCCACCCGGTAGAAGGTGTAGCCAGCACCTGCTTCATGCAACTTACTTTGCCTAGCGAACGGAGTCGCGCTGAGCGCCGCAATATCGATGTGGTAGCGCGCTAGTTCCATCGCGACCAGCGCAGCGTCGTTCGGGACGTTCACCTGATATCCGGTCCAGTAGTGTGCGCACGTTCCAGCACCCGATGCTGAGTGCTTTGGGTACAGGCATACGATTGCATTGGTGCGCAATATCACACGATGTGGCGGTTGTGCTTCGGAGGTTTGCTTGAGGGACTCAACCCGGAGCCTTTGGCTCAATGCCCTACCCCCCACAAGGCAGTGGGTAATTCGGAGTTTTGCTTGAGGGACTCCGCCCGAAGACTTCGGCTCAAAAGCCTGACCCACAAGTCAGTAGACGGTTTGGAGCTTTGCTTGAGAAACTCCTCCCCACAAGACAGTGACGAGCAGATCTAGCTCTTGAATGTGATTGAAATGATCCATTGCGATCTGCTTGAGGTCCGTCACACGCAGCTTTCGAAGATATGGAACAATTGATGTGTATTGCGACCGTAGTAGGATACGCACCTGCGACCACAGCCAGACGCAGGTGGGTTGTGGCGGGTTTACACCAATTTGACCAGGGGCTGCCTGGCTTGAGGCGGGCAGTAGCAAACCATTGAACACCCGCAGGTGCTCTCCCAACATCAGACAATGCGTGACGTTCGTGCTCTACGCCAATCGAGCTGTGGGCTTATAATCCATAGACCTATTGTCTCCCATGACTAGGCTTTACGGGAGGTAAACCAACGAACACTTCCTAACCTCCGAGGATGGACTAGAATACTGGCAGGGCGCCCACACCTGACAGGAGAACGACTCGGGTCCTCAGCCAAAACCTTGGATTAAATGTGCACCCGAAAGGCAGCGGGTCTAGCACATGGTCAGTTCACTGACTCATGCGGATTGGTGTCCTGGATCTTAGCAGGGAGAAGGGCGTACGCCAACTCCCACCCAGCCGTCGCCACAAGGAGGCGTCCAAGATATGAGCCAATGTCACAACAGTAGCAGCAGTGGGTAGACCATCTGTCAGGATCTAGCCACCACCAGCCTCAGTGCAACATAGGCTCTCCCGCGAAAATAAATAAATATCTATCTTATGTATTCTAATAACGAAGGTACCCAAGAACTATATGTTTAACCTTGGTGAGCCGTAGTTCCACCAATGACCTGTAGTCCTTGGTTTATCCTAGTTTTCCAACAGGGTTCATATAACGTCTGCAAAACAACTGTTTCTCGATCCCTTTTATTTCTTAGTGCATTACAGCGACTAAGAAGTGGACAGCGTCTCGCGTTTTCTTTGTCTGCTTCCCAGTTTCCGTTTTGGCTTGCAAGTAATGTGCAGAATGTCGGCGGGTGGCCGAGTGCACTGCACGTCTGGTTTGCAACTATAAGGTCACCAATTCAAATCCGCGTAGGGGCGGGCCTCCTCACGGTATACTCAGCCCACGCGCGACTGGTGGTGGTCGCGCGGAGCGAAGCGCCCTTACGGCGTACTGCTGCCACATTATTTTTATTATTTTTAATCTGTAGGATGATTATACCGCCCAAGCTAGTCATTTTTTCGTTTATCCGGCCCGTTGCGAAAATGTTTAGTGCCCCTGAGCTAGGTCGAGGGCGGTTACTCAGTTGACCGCATCATCCAATCGACCGGACAAACCGTCGCATATTGTGTGTGCGTGCGTGCGTGCCTGTGTATGGGCAATCATCATTGACTAGAAAGTCTGACTGACGAACAAGCAGCCAGTTAGAACGCAACCGAATCAAACCAATGAAGAAGTTAACCATTTTCTGTATATGGAATGGCCCCATGAAGACTGTAAGAAAAATTTTCGCAGAATCAGTATCTTCAAAAAACAATCGGTAGATTTGATTACGAAAACAGGTTAACTGAGCAATCAAATTCAAAAAGGAAGGTAGCACTATCAAACATCCAGGTTATAAAGCAAAAGCAAACAAATTATAATGATCGGAGAAAGACGAACCAGGATGACTTGACTGTAGCCTTGCGGGCAATTCTTCCTCTCGCTCCAGTACACCAACTGCACTCGTTGGTTAATTAATTGGGCCAACTGACGCGCGGGGATTTTACCCTTGAAACAAGGGAAAGCGGGTTTATCCACAGTGGCGGCATGAACCTCCTGGGCGACAGAGGTAGCGCACTTCGGGGCGTACACATACGTGGTGTAGCCGTTTTCCAAGTCAACAAAATCAGCCGGATACACGCCAATCCAATCTCGCGACCCCTTCTCCAAAGCATGAGGCGCAGCTGGTGTCCGGTCTTGCTCCGGTGAGTGAGTCGATGGCCGGCCCAACGCTGACATGAGCATCAGCTGTATGAAACCAAGAGTGGGGATGGATGGCTTTGTGGACAGGATGATGTCTGTGTCTTCCATATGTAACACGGCTGGAGGATCCATTAGTGTGCAGAGGAATTCCAAGTCAGTTCCATACCGCAGTTCTTCGTAAGAGGGAAAGAGATGAACGAGAGAGATGTCAAACAAAGAGCTGAAAAAGACCAGCCAATGATTGTGGTAAGGCAAGCCAATGTTTGTGCACCGATTACAATAGTGAAGGGAAATGACGCAAAAATTACGAAACGAGCAGCAAAACTTACAGAAACAGAGGAAGCGGGATGTGAGATAAATCGGTTATCGTGTGTACTGGCATTAAACGCAAACGTGCAACCAATAACACTTCAAACAACAAGGTAGCCAATTTGTACTACAGTTAGCTAAGAGCCATTCGATCGTTAATAGTAACAGCAAATGGACGGAGATTATTGAGGTGTGTCTGCGTGTGAAAATGACAAATGTCGAGTGTGGACTGTCACGATGAGCAGCGTTCAGCACACTTGTGATCTTCATAACGATTCAGCGAGTGGTGCGCTGAGAACCAAGATAATCAGGTTTGAGGTTATTCGCCTCCTGGTCAGTGGCAGTCGGACACGAAGGATTGTTGGAGGACGACATAGCCAAATCACAGATTAGATGTGAAGAAATTGAAATTAGTAGCACACTGAAGTAGAACATCAAAAATGTGGTTTAGAGTTGAGGCGACAGTTACAGACATATTTTAATAATGGTTTGTACTTCAACACGCAAATTACAATTACAGGACCAGTCGCAGCCTACCAATGATCACTGTTTGGATGGGTGTTTATCAAATGATTGCAAAGAAATTGATGTACGTCCGTTGGGCGGATGTGATGTAGGTTACAGTGGCCGTGTTGTAGCTCCACTTGTGCCACAACAGGGAACAAAACACCAAGCAATTTGGTAAAAGAGAAGACGCTGGTGAGCGACAGCAATAGGAATCATTACCGGTGGCCTTTGCACCGAAGAAACATACAAGTTGCGCCACAACAATTCAAGGCAGATTACTTTCATCGATGCAGTGGTGTAGGCGCAAAGAGAGCAACAATTGTGAAGTTAGAGATTACCATAAGGAGGGGACTGTGTCGACTGCGAGTAAGGAAATGTTGTAAAACTAGGTCAAATGATTAGCAAAAAGGCGTAGCAACAGCGTTCGATAAGTGAAGAACATCAGCGGCCTCTGGAAGCAACGGACGAAGCGAGGACAAGGCGATACGTATTTTGCCGATCATAGATCCCCACGATTTGACAATAACGATAAACAGTGGGGATTTAAGAAAAATGGAAAGTCTGTGCTAAAATGCTTCTAGGAGAGGATAAGTAAAATTTGCCCCTGTCAGCTGAGACGCAAGTCACTTGGGGGCAGGCATGCATTTCCCAATCATCTCTTACACCGCAGTACGCGAATGCGAACTTGTGGGAATCGAGGACAACCAAGTGTTTACATAATGTGGTTGAAAGGTTTCAAGCATTTTTGTTCTCAGCCATAAGTACTTTGAAGAATTCGTGTCTAGGATGCAGAATGACAGAAACTAGCTGATGTTCATTCAACAATGTGTCACACGCGCCATGAAGAAACACAACAGGCGAATCGTAAAACAATCAGGAAAAATGGGCCGTATATTGGATAGAATTGAATAAGCAACGCTTTAGATTTAACACCATCAAACCTTTCACCAGTGAGACCGAAACCATGATACTCATATACGTATCGAGCAAGGACGTTAGAGAAAGGGAACAACCGCCAGTCTCTAGAGAGGACCTGAATATGGAGAGTGAAGATAATGTGTGAACTGTGGTAACCGTTGCTCACCAGGGTTCAGAACTAAATTAGTTTCAGCGGGTTAGATCGATCTGCTTAAATTAGAATAGAATTATCATGAAACCCAAGCTGATGAGGAACTAGAAAGGTTATAACAAAATGGTGAGGGTGCCTCGGATGGCAACACGAAAAACTGACTGAACAGATTACGCCAAGTGTTATTAGCAACAAAACAACTACTCGCAAAGAAGTAAGTAGGTCTAATAAGTTTAATAGATGAGAAATAAAAGTGCGGTTCAAACACCCCAACAAAAGGTGTGAAAACGAGTACGAAAAACAAACGCATTGTGGTGGAGAAGAGAGGAGCAAAATCGAGCTGCATTTCAGCATACTTTGGATCCTGGCACCCTGAGTTGAAGGGAAATGACGATAGACATAGATGAGTGAATGACATATGGTTACAAAACAACGACACAAACGAAATCAATGTGCGCCAGAATTACAGTAGAAAAAATAGTGCGTTAAAACAACAAGCGGGCTACGAAAAAGATGCGCTATTTTCTATGTTGATGCCGTCAATTCGTAGAAACAAGTATTGATAATACTGTACTGGTAGCTCAGGTCGTTCAGTCGGTGTGGGAGTTCTCGCTGAGCTCGGCAGTGTTGGGGGGAGCAATTCTTCATCGTCCGAGGTGGCATCATCAGTGCGCTAGTGTGCAGCGGAGCAGAGCGTAATTGAGCGTGTGTCGGATATTGATGTGTGAACTGACGGATGTCCCAGTGAGGAGTTCACACGGTTGAAAAGCTTACAAGGGGCCGCAAGACTGTCGGGGTTCGGAGGTAATGGACATGTGTGGGAACCGCTAGATGTTGAAACCAGTTTAGGGTAAATGGCAAGAAGCAACGCAGCGTCAGATGCAAGCATTTGCAATGGAAGCAACGCCCTTCAAGTAAGTCAGAAGCGTTAAGAGGTAGGAGCCTGCCGTTACGGTCGCGACATAAGCAAACAGGAACTATTCAATCCGTAGTAATAGGGATTTACTCAGGAAGCACCCAGTTCATAGTGGCGGCGAAGCACAAACGAGAGGCGTTCGAGAAAATTATACAAAGGGAGTAAAAGAGACCGTAGTGTATCTGAAAACACACGTTCAGTACTTTACAACGTTGGGTTTTACTGTTGTTTGAACCTTCACAGCGTTCATTGGTTTTACGGACGGCAATTCCATTTTCATAGAGAGCTTTCATAAGTCCCGTGCTATGCCGTGCCTTGCCATTGTTGCTTCGCTTCCTATTCTTTTAGCCTGTACACGCTGGGTCCAGCTGCCTCCAATTTCTCTACTGTCCCGTAGTTGACACGTCACTTACGTGCCATCGTTACCGACTAGTATCCCAACAATTGGCGACCCCGGTTAAAAAGTCCCCAACCGACAGTTTGAATTTTGAAGTGAGCTAGTTCCAGTTACTCTGTGATACATTACTTGTCAACATTTCGTTTTCTCACCTACCGAGCTTTTCATTTGCTTGTTGCAATTATTTATCTAGTGGATAAGTCATCTTCATATGTTCTTAGAGTCTGTCATAGTCAATACCTTTTGGTAGGTTGAACCCCAGGTCCTCTCATTACGTCTTCAACCCACCCTGATCTTTAAAACCTTGCTCCGATTTTACTTGCCTTTGTCACTCGCTAGTGAAACAACTGACGCATGGATAGTATTGATAAGAGTGTTACACAGGTCCAAGTTAATATATCTCAAGCGTATCACTGACTTTCTTCTGCCTCGATTGCTTGCCTAGTCCAATTTTCAAACGCTGACAGCCTACCAAGGTAATGTTCCGCATTCTTTTTATGATCATACAGCCCACTCGCCTTGAAAAACCTGCATCACGCCTAACAGTCCCAAAAATCACCCTAACATTTATTTACATGGATATTTGCCGGATTAATTTCTCGTCGGTCGGGCTGCAGAAATGTGCACAGAGAATTTAATTATTCGAACAGTCTGGAACGATTCTGCTGTAAGGTTTGCATAAATGTACCATACGACTTGTTGCTGTATTATCCACAAGTCGTTTCAGTATATGAAAATTCACGCTTTATACAAATCGCTATGATTCAGAGGTAATTCATCACTCTCAGTCAGCAGGCTTTGAAATGTCTGAGGAAACACCAGACAGCGCTACTTTGACCTACTGCGTCTCGTCAGTGGTGTGCCTTCGTCGGACCCTTGCCCGGTTTCCGACCCCATGACTTCCGGATGCCAGCAGCTTGTGCCACTTAGGCATGGGTGAAGGCCGCGGACCAGAAGGATTGACAGGTGACCATGATATAGCCCACCTTGTGCGCGGAAAAATTATCATGAAAATCACAGCATGCATGTCAAGATCGCAGGTCAGACAGCCACACCATCTGCGTCTACTGCCGAGGTCTCGGATAACCCATTATTTGTCTACCCCATGCGATTAACTATGCAAAGCTCCATGTTTCCATTGCAACTCACACCATGGTATCGAGACTTGTTCCCGATAACCCTATCTGACACCTGCTCTTACTGGATATTGTGCTATTCATTGTTTTCCTAACCATGTCTATGTGGTTCCATTCTAACCCCTGCTGTTAGCTACGGTCGCGATGATACTGTGTAACTTACCCAGGTGTCCCACCACTCGGCATGGATTTGCTCCCATCCCAAACCCGCTTTGGCGACTGTGCACTCCCAGCCCGTGCTACTAACCCCCAGGGGCACACAGGTTAATCTCATTCCATTTGAACGTAATGACACCTTGTATCTTCATGTGCGCCGTTCAGCGGACCAATGGGATAAGATTTCGGACACATTAAAAAGAACCTTAGTATTCCTCTCTCGGAATCTGTACTCCGTGGTCTTGCTGCACGGTGGTAAGTGCAGTGACGCTATTTCATTGTGCAACTGTTTGGAGACCCTGTTGTTTCAGAACTGCACGGGCACTGTTGAGGTATGTAAACACGTAGTTGAGTTCTAGTTTGTTTAATGGTACCGTGATTAATGTCTCCGCTTCCTTTCTGGTTTGGACCCGGGGAATTTTTAGGAGTCACTCGAGCCCTAAGCGAATCTGTCGCTTACACGGCTCATCTTCCACTGCCTTGCTAGTTACGATCTGTGCAGAGAACAGCAATTAGCCCCATGAGCTATGAAAAACTTGATCTACAATCCATTTATTTTTATTACATTTCTTCTGTTTATAGGTTTCAGTATCGCAATTCGTCCGACGTTACGAGATGATTGTCACCAAAAAGCAAGAAATTTTTAGTAGGAATATCCGAATGATATCTGGGAGCAAATTGAA